TTTCAGAATTATTGCTTTGAAATAGGAGTTTGCGAAGCAAAGCAATGTTAATACAATTAGGTAGGCTTTAAATATTTTTTTTTTGTTGTTGTTGAATGCAGCTAAAACACAATGAATTAGCTATATTATTCTCTAAGCACTTCATCATTCTTTCTATTGCACTTGTCTAGAAAAAGAAAAATCTGCAACCCTTCATGTTTTTTTGTGCCATGAACCAATGTAAAAAAAAATCACACAGTTGGGCAGAATATGGCAACAATAATAATAACAATGCTAAGCAACATTTATACCCATTGCATTATATAAGGTACAATGCTAAAATTTATTGTAAGCATTCCTCACAACAATCTAGTCAGAGAAGTACAATTATTCTAGTTAGGGTGAAAAACTGCGGTTTACTGATAGAGGGCTTTAGTCATATGTCCAAGGTCACACCGCTGTGAATGGCAAAGCCAGGATTTGAACTCTGTCATTCTGACCCCAGAGCTTAGGTTTTTTTCTTTTAACCACTTAATACATGACACCACGCTCAAGTGAACATTTAACATTTTCTGACAAATGACCTCCCTATTAGACTGATGAACTATTTCTATTTCATCGAGAATAGAGAAAATGTGAGAAAACTTTATTTTCCCCGAATCAATTCTACTGATCTATGTCAGTATCAAGTGGTTCACAGCCTGTGCTTTGTGCCTTACCAATTGTCATGATAGGCCCAACTTCCTTATGTGTTTAGTGGGACTGATAACATACCTACTTCAAGAGTTTATTATGAAGATGAAACACGTTAATGCATGTAAGGCACTTGGAACAGGACATGATACGTTTCAAGTACTCAATAAAATTCTCCCGTGTCATTATCTTGTCCCTCCCTGCAACCCACAATCAAAAATCAATCTGGTTATATATCATCTGCTTCCCCTCCATCTCTTTTCTTCCTGTTCTACCAAGGCTTCTGCCGCTTTGGTTATGCCCTCTCACTGTGCTGTTATAAATCTCTCCCTCTCTGCAGTATAATCTGACAACGACCACTGAACAGAAACAAAAATCCCTCAATGACCACCCCCCAGCCCCTCCAGCTACTGTACCAGTCTCTAGTCCTCTTCACAATCTTGTTTAGTCTCACTTGCTGGCTGCATTAATTTTCTTCCCCCACCCCCTTAAAAATTAAGAGTTCCTTAGGGCTTTGAACTAGAACTTATTTTCCTTTTAAGAAGTACTCTCTCCATAAATGATCTCATCCATTCCCATGGCTTAAAATAACATCCATATTCTGATGATCCCACATTTGTATTCCCAGTCTGGGCCTCTACTTGGAGGCTGAGCTCAGTATACAGTATTCACTATCCTTCCAATTTTTGAAAGATTGTTCACTTTTGGGGTAGACTACCAGATAAATGTAAAAATGTAAATGGATCTTACGTGTCTAACTGGAACTTGACTGTCATCATAGGCTTATCCTATTCTAACTCAGGTTGTGTACTACCACTGATTTTGCCAATTTTCCATGTAGCATTCTAATATTTAAAAAAAGGCTTAAGAGCAAACAAAAAATGTCAACCAATTTTCACATACACTGATATCATTTTCCATCGCCTACCATTTAAGTATAAATCAAAGGGCCGGGACCGGTTTGGCTCAGTGGATGGAGCGTCGGCTTGGGGACTGAGGGGTCCCGGGTTCGATTCCTTGGTTGCGGGCATATCCCCAGTTGGGGGTGTGCAGGAGGCAGCTGATCGATGGCTCTCTCTCATCGATGTTTCTAACTCTCTATCTCTCCCTTCCTCTCTGTACAAAGTCAATAAAATATATTTAAAAAAAAGTATAAATCAAAGGGCAATACATTTCTAAAACAAAAAACAAAAACAAAAAAACAAGTCCTTCAGATTGTGTAAGGAAATTAAGAATTTAAACCAATTGTAGGCTGAAATTGTTCATTACATTAGTATTTCTCTGCAGAGAAGCGGAAGTTCTTTAAGTGACTTTACAAGGAAAGATAAACCTATCTTTAGTTTTGCAGAGCAGATGCAATTGAACATGTGTGAAGTGCATTATCAGACCTGGCAGGCTCAACGATGAATCTAACTGGATGTGAACAGTCAAGATCAAGACTGTAATTAATTTTTCATCGTTTCCTTTTTGAACTTTTCGGATCGGTTCTGTTTCTGGCATCGCTTCTGCTGACTACTGGAAACATCTTACATTTCACTTAGGCCTGTCCTCCTTACCCCTTTGCAATACCAAGTTGCAATCTCTGGCTGAGTCCGAACTCTTTACTTCTTTTACTACAGGCCCTGGGATAATGTTGCTTCATCTTTTCCCTATTGTCTTTCCTAACCATTTTTTTTTAGTGGAGTAAATTTTCCTATCTGGATGCAGGACAAAAGAAATTGAAAGACTGATGTAGTACATATGTTATTGCCTATCTTTTCCATGACCACTGTTAAACAACAGTGAAATCTTCTATTGTCTTTTCCCATAGTTCTTTGCCCAAGTTGGTCCCTTTGTATACATTATAGTCTAACTGTCTAACTATATACAATCTTTTTAAAAACATATATTTTATTGATTTTTCATAGAGAGGAAGAGAGAGGGATAGAGAGTTAGAAACATTGATGAGAGAGAAACATCGATCAGCTGCCTCTTGCACACCCCCTACTGGGGATGTGCCCCCATCCAAGGCACATGCCCTTGACCAGAATCGAACCTGAGACCTTTCAGTTCGCAGGCTGTCGCTCTATCCACTGAGCCAAACCGGTTTCGGCTATATACAGTTTTTAAAAGGATTTAAAAATGACAATTCCTTGCAAACTCCATTAATTTCTTATGTGCATATTTGTCTGACCGTTCCCAAGCCTAACCCACTTCCTCCTTCTGCAATTTGTCAGAATGGAGCAGTTTCCCAAAGGAGAGATGGAGGACAGACAAAAACAATACTTGTCTACTACACTATTTATTCCCAGGCTGTTTCTCAGAGAAATTGGGTCATACACACCTAGCAGAACCTGGTATGAAGTCTGATCCCCTAAAAGAACAATTCTCCCCCCTCAACCCCTTCCCTCCCCCCCCCAACATTCAACACCTTTAAGTTTTCTCGCCTGGCTGCCCTGAAGTCCTCATGAAGCCTGACTTTTCCAGATCTGTTCTCACTCAGCTCCAGATACTGGCTTTCTCTAAATTAAAATCTTAACCATCAGGTCGGAAAGTAAACAGATAAATTAACCCCCCTCCCCATGTGTTATTGACTTATAATAGCTCAATAGGTGAACACTCTAGTGTGCTTGTATTTTTATTTTTTTATAAATCTTTAGGCATAAAGCCTTCATACAGGGCAATGAAGTTCTAGAGCACAAGGTCATATATGATTGACTTGCTGGTGGATGTAGGACTCTTTCAATGCTCTTTAAATCAAATTTCCTGCCTAGAGTGTTTTTTTTTTTTTTTTTTTTTTTTTTTTATCAATCCAACGATAGCTTATTTACTCTTAGAATGCCTTTTATTGAAGGTGGAATGCCATGCTATCCCTCACTTAAAAATCCATGAATCTAATAGAAAAGGTTAGCACATCGAAGGACAAGAACGCCCAAACTATCAAAGCTGGAATCCTCTGGGCTGGAATCCATCACTCCCTTCGATTTAATCAAACCCGTGATTTGTCCAAACACCTTGGGAACCACGTCTGGCACATCTGACACATCTGACCAAAGGGAATAGCCCGTGGCGTGTGGCTGGGAAAAGAAACCGAGGGGAAAAGAACCGTGAGATGAAAAAGTAGTAGACGCCGAAACCGGTTTGGCTCAGTGGATAGAACATCGGCCTGCGGACTGAAGGGTCCCGGGTTCGATTCCGGTCAGGGGCATGTACCTTGGTTGCAGTCACATCCCCGGTGGGGGGTGTGCAGGAGGCAGCTGGTAGATGTTTCTCCCTCAGCGATGTTTCTATCTCTCTATTCCTCTCCCTTCCTCTCTGTGAAAAATGAATAAAATATATATATAAAAAAGAATAAAATTTCAAAAAAAAAAAAAAAAAAAAAGAGTAGTAGAACCTTTCCAAGAAGGAAAGGGTGGAGGCCAGAATAAAAAATAAAAATAAAGATGGGAGCGCTGCTCCATTCATGGAGCACACATTTGCTTTCTGCCTCCCGCCCGCCCGGGCCTCGGGCTCGGCGTCTCCCCCGGATGGGCGCTGCCGGGGCACAGATGCCGGGGCGGGTTATCTCGGGAACCCGCGTGGCCCTCGCTTCCGACCGACCCCCGGCGCGGGGGCGGCAGGACGGGGCGGGGGGCACCGCATCTGCCCCGGCGTCTGTCGATCTGTGGGCGGAAGCGGGCGCCCCGCCCCGGGCCCCGCGGGCTCCTTAGGGCGGGCTGCGCCAAGGCAACTTTTGGGAACTAAAAGGAGAGACGCGTGCGGGGCGAAGCGGGACGAGCGTGGAAATGTCCCTCCATCCCGGTTCGGGGCTCCGTGTGGAAAGCAGGCGCAGCGGGCGGGCCGGGCCGGGTTCTGAGCGGCGGCGGCGGCGGCGGCGGCGGCGGCGCGGGGCGGAGCGAGGCCCGCAGGCGCAGTTCCCCGTCCTGCCTCGCGGGGGCGCCGGCGCGGCCGATCAGGTGACCGAGCGCTCGTCCGGGGCTGCGGGAAGCGGCCTCGTTCTCAGCCGGCGTCTCCGCCGCCGCCGCCGCCGCCACACCTACCGGAGGAGCCGGGAGGCGGCTCGCTGGGGGCTGGGGCGGGGAGCGCCGCGGGTGCGGACGGAAGGGCGGCGGGCGGAAGGGCCGGAGGCTGTCGGGGCGCGGGCTGCTGCGGGGAAGGGACCCCCTAGGCGTCCGCCGCGGCTCGCTCTGTCACCCGCGCGGCGTTGGGGCGCCGGGGCCATGGGCGCGCTGCCCTGAGGCGGAGGCCGCGGGCGGGCGGGGCGGAGGCCGGAGAGCGGCGGCGGCGGCGGCGGGCCGGGCACCGGGCGCGAGGAGGCCGGCGGCGGCGGCGGCCCCACCAGCACCACCATGTCGCGCTCCGTGCTGCAGCCCAGCCAGCAGAAGCTGGCGGAGAAGCTCACCATCCTCAACGACCGGGGCGTCGGCATGCTCACCCGGCTCTACAACATCAAGAAGGTGCGCCCGGGCCGGGAGGCCGCGGCGGGCGGGGCGGGGGCCGGGGCCGGGGCCGGGGCCGGGGCCGGGGCGGGGGCGGCTGGGGAGGGGCCGCGGGCGGCGTCCGGGCCCGGAATGCCGGCGTCAGGCCCGGCCCGGGGGCGCGGGGATGCGCCGCGGCCTAATGCCGAGTCCCGGGCGCCTCCCCGGCGGCTCGCGGGCCTGCGGAGGCCGAGAGAGAGGAGCCATTTCCCCGCTCCCGGCGGCGGGCCGGCCGGCGGGCACCGGGCGAGGGGCGCTGCCCTGTCCGCCGCCGCCCTCGCCCCGCGCCCGGCGGCCTGGCCCCGGGAGGGGGAAGCGTCTGCGGGGAAAGGCCGGGGTCGGTGTGGGCTAGGAAAAGTTGGGGGTTCCGTAGCTGAGGTTATCGGGAATCTGCCATCGATACCCCCCCCCCCTTTTTTTTCTCTCTCTCTGTGTTGGTGGGTAAGTGTAGGAATGTGGGAGGGACGCCCTCCATCCCCCGCCCCGGGCCACTTTCTCCCCGATCGCGGATAAAAGCCGCGTGAGGGCGCGATCCCATCCTGAAGGTGCAGAGGAGGGGAGGCGAGGGTGGCACCAGCTTTCTTCCGAAACACTTCTGGGCTGTGAGTCACTGGAACAAGAATAACAGCTTCCCTCCCTCCCTGGGCACTCCTCCTCCTCCTCCGAGTTTTCTAAGCCGGTCTGATGGTGCCGGAGGAGCATCATTTCTTAAAGTTTGGCTTCTGTACAAGATAAAATCGGTAAATAGGTGGCTACTAACCACTGAGCTAGAGCGTATCCTAATAATTACAGGCGCTATAGCTCAGAGGCCCATCGGAAGTCTTTACGGACTTCAGCAGGTTAAGGAATGGTAGCCTGAGTTGGAGTTAAGATAAATAGATGTAATGTAACAAAATAACATATATGTACATATATATATACAAACACACACACAGACACACACACACACAAACACACACACATATAACTTTGTCTTGGGAGAAAATAACCAAAATCTTATTTCTTGTAAGACAAGGTCGGTAAGTTTAAAGAATTTGGTAAAGAGAATTAAGTTTTTTTGGGTACACTCTAGATCCTTAGAGTTTCCAATGTGTAAAGAGCTAATATGCTAATTAGACAAACAGCAGAAGACCATCCAGACAACCTTCCAGCAGACGAAGCTGGGGCTGTGGGGGCCAGGGCTGCAAGGGCCGAGCTCCTGGCATGAATTTCGTGCTTCCGGCCTCTAGTATCTTCTGAATTATGGTTGGCTTTTTCATATATCACAAATATTTCCTTTTAGTTTAATTATAGCAATAGATTAGGGCTGCTGAAGTAATAAGCATGTATTTTTTTTTTTTTTGAAATTCATATCATGGGGTTCAAGTATAAAAGTGGTTTATTTCAACACTGTGGTGCAGACACTGGAATTCTAAAGGAGAATACTGCCCTGGCTTCATGGTGATAAATTTTGTATAAGGAGAGCTGTGTTCCGGTTACTCACCTAGATGCAAGAGGACTGGTTGCATCTAAAGCCAGCGCAGTCTGGAGAGTAACACGCCTACTGGTTTGTTACAGTTTATGTGGAGGGGCGCGGTGTTATTACAAAGAAGCCCTCTGCAATTACCAAAGAGCCTTGTTATAAACTTATGTAGGTTGAAAATATTTAATTGTAGAGATTTTTACTTACAGGTTGCATTTACCTGAACTTTTTTTTGTGAGATTACATTCGTTAACAAACTTGGAAAATGTTTCTATATGAACTTTATCCCAAACACCAAGCATGTCAAACATTACTAAAAGTTACTAGACCTGTGGTATTGTGGTTAAAGGAAATGGTTATGGTGGGTTCTCAGAAGAGGAAGTGAGAGTAACATCAAAAGTGATTTGGGTATTTGGGCAAAATACCTTTTTTTTTTTTTTTTTTAAAGCCTTCATTATACGTTTTTATAGTATAAATACACCCTAACTTTACATACCCCACCTTCATAAATTAAATAAGATTAAACTAAATTCTAGGCATTTGAATTTTTATAATTTCAGTTAACTGCTTTTTCTCAAAAGCGTATTTTTTTTCACTTCCTGTTTTGAGAAACTTCAGCTTCTTGTATTATTGAACTAGTAAAATTTAAAATGAATTGAATATAGTCATTATATCCAAGTGTCAAATATTTTGAGTTATTGAAATGTTATATATTTCAGCACTTAACATATTTGTAGTATGTTGCAAAATATTTGCCCTGTCTGATTGTGAGTTCCCTCTGGGCAGGGACAGTATTATTTATTTTTTAATTACTAGTACTTAGGGATTTATCAGGTCTATGAGAACTTCAAGGCCTTGTTGAAATGAATGACTACAATATTTGATGTATGTGTGGTGCGTGTGTGTGTGTGTGTGTGTGTGTGTCTGTGTGTGTGTGTGTCTGTGTGTGTGTATATATGTGTATATATAATTCTATACTTTTAATAATAGATTTGGGTTTATACTCATGTAATTTTCCATCCAGATACATCAAATTTTTAATCTTTCAGCCAATGTAGAGATGTCTATGAGATTGGCTAGGGATTGAAACATTTGTTCAAAAATCTTGCCCAAAAAAAAAAAGATCTGTTCACCATGTGTTTATACGGCTCATGATTTCTGCATTTTTATGACAGTGTAAACCACAAAATTGTTTCAATCTCAGTCTCTTATAGTCCTCAAAAAAACCTTCCACCATATAATAAATGTCTGCCAATCAGTTATATTTTTATTAATGCATGTGTGCATTAGATTGTCTATCAGATCTGATTACTTTGCTCTGTTTGCAAGTGTGCAATGGAAATATTTGAGTGAGTATATGAAAAATACTTCAGTGACCTATAATCAAGAATGTGCTTTAATGCTTATTAGGGGGAATGTAATATGGTTAAAAAAATTTCATCAGTTGTGAAATTTTGAGATCTTAGTATGTACAGTTTATGGAAATTTTAGAGAATTTGTCTAATCAGAGCTGTAGGAACATATAAAGGAGGATTTTAGGGGAAAGACATGAAAGTGGTAGTTTCACACTTAAATTTATTTTTTTTTCTGAATTCCTTAAAGTTTTTATTTTTTATTTTTATTATTTTTGTTCGTTTGTTGTTATTGATTTCAGAGAGAAAGAGAAAGGAATAGAGAGGTAGAAACATCAATTATGAGAGAAAACCATTGATCTGCTGCTCCTGCATGCCTCACACTGGGGATTAAGTCCACAACCAGGGCAAATGCCCCTGCCCATAATCAAACCCAGAAGCCTTTATCTGCAGGCTGGCATTTAAACAAATATATATATTTTATTGATTTTTTTACAGCGATGAAGGAAGAGAGATAGAGAGCTAGAAACGTCGATGAGAGAGAAACATTGACTAGCTGCCTCCTGCACCCTCCACTGGGGATGTGCCCACAACCAATGCACATGCCCTTGGCCGGAATCGAACCTGGGACCTTTCAGTCGGCAGACCAAAGCTCTACCGCTGAGCCAAACTGGGTTCAGCTGCAGGCTGGCACTTTATCCACTGAGCCAAACCAGCTAGGGCTGAAGTTTTATTTTTTATTTAAAATGTCTTCCCTTTTCTACACCTAATACCACCACTCACTTATGTAGTGATTTTTATTTTTATTTATTTTTTATAAATATATACAAATAGTATATATATCTCCCTTTTTTCTCATTGACCTTCTCCCGGTTCCCTTACTCTCTGAAACATGCCCCCACCTATGTAGTGATTTTTAATATTTTTAAGGCTATTTTTATATCAGTGAATGTGCATGGCAGGCAGTTTGGTGATGGGTGGTAGAATACTGGACCAGAACTTAGGAGGTCTGTATTCCAATATTCAGATTGTCACTGGGTTCTGTAACATTGAGTAGGTGTCTTGACTTCCCTGAGCTTTATTTCTCCTCATCTATGAAATGGGAGAAAAATAACTGTAAATGGAATGCTAAAGTCGATTCCAGCTCTGATTATGTTATCTTTACAAGTTCATTTTCAAGTAGCAGGGTAGAAGTTACAGCTCATTTTATACAGTAACTTGAATTCTAAGTTTAGTTTTCTGTAATAAGAGATAGTAATGTTCTGTCTACTTTACTGGATTGTTGGTGAAGATTAAAGACAACAATGTGAAAATTGTTTAATAAAATGTCTAGGAAATAAACACTTATTTAGGAGTCTCAGCAATCTTTTGAGCAACATGTATTTCTGAAATTTTACTGTTATTTAGCAGACACATTCCCAAATCCCCCCCCCAAAAAACATTTTTTTTTCTGAGTTTAAAAAATACTGTTTTGTTGTTTACTCTTTCTTTTTTTTTTTTTCTGTCTGTTTTTCTACATCATCAACATGAACTTGATAAATCTGTGCCAAAAAGGTCTCGGTTAATACTTGCATATTTTTGCTCTTGTTAAATTATTACCTCACCTCTATAAAGGACAGAAAAGACCCATCCCAAATTTTTTAAAAATGAAATATTTTTTGCATATTTCATCACATTTACTTTTTTTTTTTTCTTGCTTAAAGCAACATTTTTTTCTCTACAGCATTTGCTCATGATTATGGATAAATTTATTTTATGGGGGGGAAATCCATAGAATAGCAGGTAAAAGTGAAAGTTTTTGTTTGGTTTCCACTTACCCAATGGAGAAAAAAAAGATGCATGTGAAGGATGCAGTGCAAGGTAAAAGGAGGGTAATCAGCTTCAGCTCTCCCTTTCATTGTTGTTTCCCTTTATAAGATTTTTTTTTTCTCCCAGTAGAATTTCATTATCAAGAGCCTTAAACATGTTAAGAATAAAACATTATCTCTCCACAAATCCGAATTTAAATTATATATTATTTATTTAAACAACAAGTCCTATTATGTCTAAAACTTTATTTTTAAGGAAGTGCTTGTAAAAATGAAGATTTGAGCCGAAACTGGTTTGGCTCAGTGGATAGAGTGTCGCCCTGTAGACTTAAAGGTCCCGGGTTCGATTCTGGTCAA